ATATAAATTAAATTATAATCAACTAAAAAAAAAGATGATTTTAATAATAACTTTATTTAATAATTTTGTCCTACCAATAATATGGTTCAATAATATTATTAAATTGACTAAATTATACATAATAAATAAAATAATAATAATTTCCTACTTAAATACTTATTTAATAGTTTTTCCTAATAAATTGCAACTTATATATTTTTATATTTTTCAATTATCTTTTGAAAGTGTTGTTGTTGATATAATCATAATCACTTTGATTGTGATTGCCTTTTAACATCGACAAAATAAATTGAATTTTCAATTGCTATCGATTGCATACCAAGAGTTCGATAAATTGTTTGTGCGTATTTTTAATTGGTTTTTGTTCATTGGAAATATGAGTTACGGATAGATTTGCATTTAATTGATTCTAGCTTGACCGTTGTTGAACATTTACTTTCTTTATCATTTCGTTTGGCTTGCGATACATATATAGCTTTTCGATAGTAGGTTCAGTTAGACGATTCGATCTGGGTCACTTTTCTACTGTGCCATATTTTTGAAAACAAATTTTTGCCAAAGTTTTTTGATTGTAAAATTTGTGATCTATTCACCCCTTTTAGATCAAAGCCTATCATCTAACTCTCCTCTCCCAATGTTATGAGGTATTTAGAAATTAAAAGCCTTCTTTTTTATTTAATTGTGTATGTTTGTCATTGTTTTTTAAATATTATTTACAGGTGTAATATAACTTCTCATGTGGGACCAAGAGTTTCCATCGAACATGCTATTTAACTCTTCGCCTAAGGGAATTAGAGTTTCCTTGGGCCGGGTCCAACATTTATATCTCGTCTCGAAGGAGCGACTGAAGTCTAGCCTAAGAGACTTATCTTGTCTGAGGGCTTGATAAAAGTCCTGCCCCAGAGGTCTAACGCATCGCCTGAGGGACTTATAGTCTCATCAGCCAAACTTAATATAACTTCGTCTGTGGGACCAAAAGTTTCCATCGAATAGGCTATCTAACTTCTCACTTGAAGGACTTAGAGTTTTCTTGAGCGAGGACCAACATTCATATCTCACCCAAAGAGCACAAATGATGTTTAACCTAAGACACTTAGTATAAAATCTTGTCTAAGGGCTTGATAGAAGTCCCACCCAAGAGGTTCAACGTCTTATCTGAGGGACTTATAGTCTCATTAACTTGATTTAATATAATTTCGTCTGTGAGACCAAAGTTTCTCATCAAATATGCTATCTAACGCCTCACCCGAGGGGCTTAGAGTTTCCTTAGACGGGATCCAACATTCATATCATGCCCAGAGAGCGCAACCGAATTCTAGCATAAGAGAATTAGTCTAAAGTCTTGCCCGAGGGCTTGATAGAAGTTTCACCTGACAAATCCAACGCCTCGCTCGAGAGACTTATAGTTTCATCATCCAGACTTAATATAACTTTGCCGGTGGATTCAAGAGTTCCCATCAAATAGACTATCTAAACCACCATAAATATGACCATACAAGACTTCTCGTCAGCGTGGGTAAACCTTAATCATCCCCAAACTGTTATAACCTACTAAGTCTTTTAAGTATCCTAACTATTACAAAAGTAACAAACTCTGGTACTTTTTAACCAGAAGAATAATAATATAAATACAAATTTAAAATTTAAATATAATAAATGATAATAATAAACATATTTTAAAATAATTTTGTAAAATTGTGCGACCTGCGTTGTTTATTGTCACGTGATAAATTGAAATGTGACAAAAAAAGTTAATTAAAAGAAAAAAAATGAAGTTTTGAAAGGAAAGAAAATAAAATAAAAGAAAAGTGGAATTTGATTGTGTTTGAAAAGGTAAAGCAAATGCAGGTGTGCAGTAGAGAGAGTGAGAGAGTGTGATGGAAGGTAAGAAGAACGCGTAACCTTTGTATTCTAGTATCTATCTAGTAATCAATTAATATGCTCTCACCTCTCTTCTCTTCCAATCCATCATCATACAACGTAACGTAGCGTAGCGTACAGACTTCATCCGCGTCATTGCATGGACTCCCACCCCCGCTATCTCATTCTCCGCCCTGAAAACGGTGGTTTTACCGACTTATTCTCCAATGCTCTCTCCGGCAACTATTCTCAATTCACATCCTTACCTTCACCCCTTCCTCCAACTCCCACTCCCACTCCTGATCACAGATGGGTCATCTTCGTTTCCATTTTTCTCCGCAAATTCATCTCTCTCCTTGCCAAACCTATGGATTGGACCGGCCGTTTTCTTGAGTTTTTCCTCAATCTCCTCTCCCTCAACGGTTACTTCTTTGGTCTGCTTCACAACTTAACCCATGGTATGCTCCTTTATAACTTGCATTGCATTGCATTATGCTCCATAGGTATTTTACTTCACATTCAACAAACCATGCATTGCAACTATTTGTATTTTCTTTCTACATAATTCATTATTTGCATTTTTGAACAGGAAAACTTGTGATACCTCAGAGGGGTTCACAAACTTTTGTAAGTACAATTGGTCATTTAGATGCCAGGCTTGATCTCAAATTTCTCACTCAGGGACAATTCAAACCACAATTACGCAACCGTGATCTAATGGATCTCTGCATTATGTCTTCCAAGTTAGCATATGAGAACCCTAAACTCGTCCAAGATATCGTCACCAGCCGCTGGAACATGCACTTTGTCGATTTCTATGACTGCTGGAATGGTAACACTAAAGTTTTTATAAACCATTGCATTATCAAAATTCTTGTATTGAACTTTTGTTATGCCTTTCTTACTTTTTGGCTTCATCATTTGATAGATTTCCAGAAACAGATGTCCACTCAAGTTTTCATTCTATGTGACAAAGCCAAAGATGCTAATTTGATATTAATCAGCTTTAGGGGTACTGAACCTTTTGATGCGGATGATTGGTGTACTGATTTTGATTATTCCTGGTATGAATTTCCAGATGTGGGAAAAATCCACATTGGATTCCTAGAAGCCCTTGGTTTGGGAAATAGAGATGAACCCTCCACCTTCTACTCTAATCTCCAACGTGAAGATACAGAGTTAATGAACTCTACAAATGGTGTTCGTGTTGGAGCTAATTGCTCTTCAAAAAGCAACCCTGAATCATTGTTCTCGAGCATTGACTCCGATGAGGATCAATCTTTCACATATGAGAAGACTCCACAGGAGAAAACTGCATATGATGTTGTGAGAAGTAAACTCAGAAGCTTATTACAGGAGCACAAGGATGCAAAATTCATTGTTACCGGGCATAGCTTGGGGGGAGCCCTGGCCATATTGTTTCCAACAGTGCTTGTAGTGCATAAAGAAATGGAGATTATGGAAAGGCTGCTTGGTGTATACACATTTGGCCAACCTAGGATTGGAAATAGGCAGCTTGGGAGATTCATGGAACCTCATTTGGATCGCCCTGTTCCAAAGTACTTCAGGGTGGTTTACTGCAATGATATTGTCCCCAGGTTGCCTTATGATGACAAAACCTTCTTGTACAAGCATTTCGGAGAGTGTCTTTACTACAACAGCCACTACGTTGAAAAAGTAAGTATTCTTTTTTTTTTGAAAAGAATTTAATTTGTTGATTCCATCATTTGCTATTCTTCACTTTGAAATGCCTCATATGTCAGCAGAGAGGCTCATCAACTTATCACATCATGTATTCTTTTTAAAAACTTTGATAACAAGATGATGTTTATGTAATATATGTTCACACTGTTAGGGTATATACTGTATTTAATAAACTCAGTAGAAATTATCTTACTGAAACAAATTATCTGTTGTATTTGCACACACAGTCATTTGATACTAAACATTTTATTGGATGATTAAATAATTTTCTGTTCTAAAGAAATTAGTATTTGTTATGTCATGTTATCAGATTCATTAACTCATTCTTCAATATATTCACTTTTATTGTTTGGATATTTTGTCATCATCAAAGGATATGAAGGAGGCACCAAATAGAAATTTCTTTGGAATGAGGTTCATATTATCACAATATTTGAATGCCGTGTGGGAGTTAATTCGATGCTTGACAATGGGTTACGTTGAAGGAGCAGAGTATAAGGAAGGGTGGTTTCGCATACTGGTAAGGATAATAGGACTGGCACTTCCTGGTTTTTCGGCTCATTGTACGACAGATTATGTCAACTCTATCAGACTTGGAAAGGAAAGCTCCCCTCATATGTCTTCTATCTAAGAAGGCCTCTCATGAACTATGTGGCTGCCCTGTTCTCTGTATCTAGAAGTTGCTCGGAATTGTCAGGTGTCTAAAATGCATACATGAACGCTTATGACTGTGGTTCTTTTCTTTTGCAAGATATTGTTATCCCTGTTATGCGTTTTTTTAATGTTGGTGGTAATGAGTATGTTATAATTACCACCAGGTAAATACTTGAAGTAAATGTACCCATGACAAGATTTTGTTTAAAGCAATCATGATACAAGTATAATAGTGTATTTTCATGTTAACAAAGAAAGTAATAGTTATGAGGAAAACTATCATGGTAAACAATCAACATCTAAATTCTAAAATATAATTACAATATAACTAGTAACAAATGTATTTGATTCAAGTATCAGCTTTTGAATTTTTCGTCCTGTGTTTTTCAAAGTGACATTATTAAAGTATCAAATTGTAAATACAGAGTGACAATTCAACATGCTTACATATCTATTTTCCCAAGAAAAAATATTGTGCCCTCCCTGTCTCAAAGGGGCTTTTATTATTTCATAAAACAATTCTGTCAACAAAGCGGATTTCTGGATATGAATTTCTATCAGTAATCCTCTTACCAAAATGAAAATATTGGTGTCCAACGAACGTGAAACGGCGTGAGAAAGAATACAACTTACTACTAGCAACAATGGTCCAAAACCTAATTCAACAGCTCTGTATGGTGAAGTCTCTATTTGTTGGGATCATATAAAAATGAACATAATTACCAATTATTTCAATCATAGTTTCACTTAAATAGGTCCATGTAGGGTTTATGCTGGTGACATCAAACTGTATGAGCTGACTGGATCGCCTTCAGGTCTAAATTTTTGAGTCTCAAAACAGATTCTACATGTCCTCTAAGGGTGTGCAACTCCCCCAGCCTGCAAATGAATTTCGGAGTTTAAATTAGAAAAATGCTTCCTATAGTAATATCTCTTTTAATTTTAATCAATATCACACAAGTTTGTTTAGGTGGGGGCGATCAAGTAGTAGATGTGAGCCAAATATTAGAATCATTAAAGCAAAACAATTAAGAAGATGATAACTAACTAGGCAAAACTAAATGTACCTGGCTATTTCAGCACGTCTTCGGGCCTGTTCAGCTATCATAGAAGACCGCCTTCCTCTGACCTCCAAGCCTGAGGTCGTATGACTCAGTCCTTGCAGACTTCCCTGAGAAAGAACCCACTTTGCTGCCCTATCTTCCGTCCCATAGTCTTTCTTAGATGTAAAAGCAGTCTATTGAAATACACAAATTAGGTAAACATTACACAATTAGCAAAGGATTACCTTATGGGGACAAAATGGAAGAGTTCTTTACTAACCTTTCTGTCAAATAAGAGATTCCAGGCTTCTCCACTCAAGGCATACCGCACTGTGAACTTAATGATGTCCAATGGTACATAGAAGATTAAACTGTACAACCATATAACACCAGCCCATCCCCATCCAATACCCCGAATTTCAGCAAAACTTAGAGTAGCATAGACTGCAATTAACGTGGCCACCTGACCATAATCCATAAAAACTAACCCATTATTCAATGACAAAAAAATTCTAAATTTCTTAATCGGATTCATTAAAGCATTTTGCAGGAGCTACAAATATTAAAACTTTTTACCAGTTGAGCTATTACAAAGGCGCACATGAGTAAAGCTCCAGGTCTCTCTAGAAACGACCAACCACGGCTACGAGTAACAAAAATTAGAGCCTGGCTAATGATGCTAACTTGCAGATATACAGCTGAAGAAACTTTCTCACTGTCACTGGATAAGGATACTACATGGAAGTGGGTCTGCAACATCACATTATTGAGCTTATAAATGTTGGTTTAAAGAAATCAATTTTTCATTTGAGGATTGAAGAGAAATGGAAATACTTATAATTTTGTACCTCAAAGAAAGTGGTCTCAACTACTGCCCAGTAGAACAAGACAGTAATCAAAGCAAGGTAAGTGCCAATCACTACTCCTGTTGCAAATATCTCAGGAAGCTTCCAACTGTCGGGCGTTGGGGATGGCCTTACTCTGTCTTTAGCTATGGTCATGATAGTACCTAATTAAAAATGGTTACAGATCAGTATATCACTAATGTATTGCCTAACCGTTGTTATATCTTCTAGTCTGTAAACAGTTTTGATATTCTTCAGTCACTTATATGAAGGGAACAAAACAAAACCGTTTCTGTCAAAAACTTCTGTTAGATATTTATTTCCTGAAGAAAAGCAGGCATAAGTAATTTTTAAAATAAGGAAAACCTGTTCATAACATTCAGGAGTTTTATGTTTTTGGTTCCAGCATAATGGAATCCTCGTGTTAGTTTTCTATATCAACTGAGACTCACAATATGGGAAGTCACCTCCTTAACAACCAGGTCAACTTTCTTGGGTTGCGACATCTATGAATTTGTATCTATAGACTATTGAGAAACTAAAATTTTTCATTGAACAACCTAGTCCTAGAAAGATCTCACCGTTGCTGGGTCCAATAAAGGATCAAATAATTTCTTATCAACCGTAGCCGGTCTTGCCTTTCATTTGCGAAAAACGATTAACTTGGTTTGTGACCTTCAGCTCATATGGTAACAACTCCAACTCTTGCGCCAAAGCTCTATTTCTGAAGTTAGAATTTTATACCTTAGGAAATTTACTCGATGAGGTTAGCACTCTTAGGTTATACAACCTCAGATTTTATATTCAATTTATAGCGAGATTTATATATCTTGGCCAAAAATTACTCTATTATGAGCATATAATATAGTAGAGACGTTATAAAATCAAGGGGAAAATAGTGTGTTTTGATTTTCCATATAACCTCAAATGCATTTAACTTTAACTTTTATATTTTCATAAAGTCACACAAAACTGCTGAGTATAATTTTTCAGGGATGGAAAAGTTTATCTGTAATGTATTACCATCATTAAGGATTGCAATGATCAGGACCATGAAGGGTGGAAAGTCATACTCCCAAATCAATGCTAGGAGCACAAATCCAAGCTGCAACAGGGCATAGTTTGACAAGTTATATGTATGCACAAAGGGACTTATATTCAAATCCAAGATTATGTAAAACCAAACATGAAACGTAACATTGAAATAGGATGTTGGAAATTATCTTACCACTATCCTAATGGTGATGGAGACTGCATATATCTGCAATCACGACAATTATAATATTTACTTCAAGTAAATAATAAAAATAATGATGATGCTGTATAATATATAAAAGTAGAAAGATATATTTGTTCTATGATAATATATATAAAGGAGCAGAGGAATTTTCATACTCAACTGTATAATTTTTCATCCTTTGAAATATAGCTCGGCTAGTTAACACAGCACTAATAATAACACTTAAGCCAGGCTCAGTTAAGACTATATCAGCAGCACTTCTTGCAGCATCTGTGGCATCTGACACTGCTATTCCAATGTCCGCTTTCTTCAATGCTGGGGCATCATTTACTCCATCCCCAGTCATTCCAACAACATGTTGTTTTTCTTGTAAAATTTTAACTATTTCATATTTGTGTTCTGAAAGTATTCATTGATAAAACAGATCATTGAACAGATTTGGCGAAATAGAAGCATGTATAAATATATTGGATAACCACATCCGCAAGATCATATTTATAGGTTAATGAAATCCGAAAGGCGGAACAACACAATTTCTGATATATCGATTTAAAATACCAGGGAATACACCAGCAAAGCCATCTGCCTTTTCAATGAGTTCGTCTACTGGGAGAGCTTCATTCTCATCTTTGTTGCGACCCAACAAAGATGAAGAAGGGTACATATTTGTGCCCATGCCAAGTCTTCTGCCCGTTTCCTTCGCAATAGCCAACTGATCCCCTGTATTGACATGTAAACTGGCTCATCAAGGCTCCAACATTTCTATAGTCTTTTGTCATATCATTGGATTTCATTATTACCTGTAATCATCTTAACACAAACTCCAAGGTTAAGTGCTCTTCGGATGGTCTCAGCACTATCATGTCTTGGTGGATCAAACAAAGGCAATAAACCACAAAAAGTCCAAGGACTTCCAGGACTATCCTTGGATTTTTCAGGTACTTCCTGAAAGAGTTATAACTTACTCTGGTAAGACAAATTAATAATCAATCCTTTATGTCATAAACCAACGGTCCCTAGAAGATAATGAATTAAAACACATTGTTTAAACTGTTCCTTCTTGCAAAGTTTGAAGTGGTCACATTAAACATGTTCCTTTACCTTGTTCTAAAAATTAACTTCGATTCAGAGGTATAAGGGAAACAAGGATCAAAATCCATACCTCATGATTATAGGGACTTTATGAATGAAAGCACATGAAATGAATGGTTTTCTATCTGACGGTATGTTTGAATTGAGGGTTTTGGATGAATAAGTCTGTATTTTGGTATGTATTTGAGATTTAAACAAAAAATGAAAGAATAACATGACAGATAGTCATATAATATTTGAATCACTCTTAGTTTATTTTTAGAAACATTTTATAGCTTCCTTCATTTTGAAAAAAAAAATAAGCCATTCCTTTTTCCTTCCCTCCAACATCCTCCATCCAAACATATTCTAAAACTACTCAAGTTGTGACCGTGTTATCTAGTTTGGAAAACTTGCATCAGTTAACAAATGAATTGACATCTTTTTCTTCGATATATTATCTTTTCAGCCGAATAACAGACTGCCATACCTGAAAAGCAACTCCAAGAGACCGCAATCCCCTTTCAGCAAATTTGTCTATGATTGCATGTACTTTTCCGGCAATCAGGTCTTTCTCTCGGCACATATTTAGAATCTGATATTCAGGAACAATATAAAGGAAAGTGTGAAGTTTCGATACAAAAAGCAATGAGAAAAAGTTAGGCACTAAAAACATTCTATATGTATTCAACATCTTTCATGAATTTTGATACCTGTTCCGGTGCTCCTTTGCTGGCCCTGTAAAATCTACCATCAGAATCGATGTATGTTATTGCGGTACGCTTGTCTACAGGATTGAATGGTAGAAAATGAACTTCAGTGATGTTTGCACGTGCCTGCAGAGAAAAGAGGGAAAACGTTTTTCTTTCATTAGTATGCCATTGCTTTGGTATAATAAAGGAGTATTGGAAAAACTTTTGTATTGTAGCCCATGTTTCTTTACACTCTACCTCTTTTGGATCAGCCAGCATATTAACGATGGCAGTATCGATGGCATCTTGATTTTCCAATCTAGCTGCCCTAGCTGCCAATAGAACAATCATATCTTTGTCCATGTTTCTGTTGAAGACCTGTTTCACAAGTAAATTCTTCAGGTGTGAAACTCTAAGTAATGACAACACCTCTCAGAAGTACTGTTTCATTAACAATATGGATAGTGTATTTTCATTTATAGTTTTCAACTACCTACCTCTATGAGATTTCGATCAACAGACAGGCGATTCAGCGTTAGAGTACCCGTTTTGTCACTGCATAAGACATCCATGCCTGCCATTTCTTCAATTGCTGTCATTCTTTTTGTGATAGCTCCCTTAAGAATGAAATCAATAAAAATAAAGAAAAAGCACTGTCAGCAGTGCAACATTTGCTGTAATGCTGTAGGTGCCCCTACGCTACGCCTATGTACTAACTATCCCCAAGTGATGCTGGGGAGTCTTACAGAATTTTCCAAACTTAAACTACATTTATCAATAATATAAGGGGAGGGAATATGATATTGATTGTACTGCTTTAAACTAAAAGATAAAAAGTTGCACACCTGTTGAGAAAGGCGATGAGAGCCAATGGCAAGTGTTACAGATAACACTGTTGGCATAGCTATGGGAATTCCTCCAATGAGGAGAACAAGAAGGTTGTTGATTCCTTCCCTGTATGATCGGTGCTCCACAGGGTACATTATAATTATTTCAAGGGTCATCCCTATGGCTATTGAGCAAATGCAGAAGTTACCAATAGAGGTAAGAACCTACACAAAAAGGTAAATAGTTCTTTACTCCTTTGCAATACCATTTGTAAACATATTGGCTTGGTTATTCTTCATATCAGCGAGTTTATGTTATAGGATGTTGAAAATTTTCCAGAGTTACCTTCTGAAAATGTCCGACAACTTCGGTACTATCGACCAAGTGTGCCGCTTTTCCAAAAAAGGAATGAACCCCTGTTGCTATCACTACTGCTTCAATCTCTCCGAGTTTACAAGTTGAACCTGAAAAGACCTCGTCGCCAGTTTTTTTTGTTACAGGTAAGGACTCTCCAGTAAGGGCTGACTGCACGAAACAAAACCGGAACATCATATGAGTAATTTACAGTTTATCTCATGAAAAAATATATATAGCGAAAACGTTGTGGTAAAAAAAAACTTGAAACACAATATTTGTTTATTTGAGGTCAAGAAATGAAGAGTTGCCTGGTCAATTTTGAGAGGGTCTCCTTGGAGCAAGCGAGCATCGGCTGGAACGATATCTCCTAGCTTTATGCTGATTATATCACCAGGTACTAAAATAGCGGCATCATCTTCTTGCCACTGGCCATCTCTTAGAACCTGAAGAATTAGTTAGATTGAGTGATTCATGTTAGATGCAATGCAAGGAAGGAACATTAATGAACTTGGGAAAGAAGGCGACCTTTGTTCTAGGAGCTAAGCGAGCCATTAGTGCGGATGCAGCAGTACCAGCATTATTTTCTTCTATAAAACTAATAGTTGAGTTTATTACCAGTAAGCCTATAATCCCCACAAAGTCTTGCCAATCAGGACCCTCCCCCTGAAAAGACAGAGCTCTCGAATAATTAAGGATGAAGGAGAAAGTTAAAACGAAAAAAACGTTGGAGATTTGAAGTTATGTACTGACTCCGCCATTGGCAAGGGCAATTGCCATCAAAGCTGCGGCTTCCATAACCCATGAGAGAGGATTCCACATAAAACTAAGAAATTTCAAGATTTTATTCTCCTGCATCATGAGCAGTTGAGTTAAATGGTGCATAATGGTAGTAGGTTGGGAGAAGTTGTCTTACTTTCCTCTCTTGAAGTTTGTTAGGACCAAATATTTGAAGTCGTGCTTCCGCATCGTCGGAGGAAAGTCCTGTTGGTGATGTTTTCAAGAGTTGAAATACTTGTTCAAGTGGTATGCGCTCCTGAAGACGAGGATGATAAAATGTTAATAATGCAATAAGAAGGTAGAGAGAGAGAGAAGGATGGGGAAGTTACCAAATCAATGTCGTCTGGTATGAAATGGTGAGGATCGAGCAAAGGTTTATCAAGTTCCTGAGACATGTTGTTATAGGTATGCTACTGAGTGACCTTGGTTTGGAGTAGAGAGTAGAGAGTGGGAGATTGATATAAATGAACAACAATGTTAGTTAGTTAGTTGGTTACTGATATCACTCACTCACTAGTCAGTACTACTAAGGTTGTGGATGGTGGTTGTAACATCCAATTTCAAATCCAAATGTAATGCTTGTCTCAACTTTGGGTGCAAAGAAAGACCGTTGGATGCATTCCAACTAACTTTCAAAACTTCCTCCCTCTTCAACTAACCTTCTATTCTTCCTGTTGCTATCTACATAATGCAACATTTTATTATTATTATTATTTCAAAATAAATTACAATAGAAAGGTATATAAATCGATATCACGTGTCTATGTGAAAATTATACATAAAAGGCAAATATTTATGCATCCATTAATATATATGTTTCGATAAAAATTAACCATGTATTTGTCTACATGACATTTTATAATATTACATATCACAATTGTCTCTTAATCTCATTTTCTATTTTACCTCTCATTTTGTCTTTTTAGAGTTTATTTTATTTAAACTTAGAATTTCTCTTATTGAAACTAAGGTTTTTCTAATTGAAGGGAGGAAGACGGGGAAGCAAAAGAGAGTGGTGGATATAGGATTACACATGAGAACTAAAAGGTAGGATTGTTAAGCGAATGTAACTTTTTTATTCTCATAAAACTTTTTTTCTTTAATTTTTAAATTTTTGAATCAACCAATCACGCAAAACTAAATTACATAAAGCTGCATCTTATATATAAAATATATAAATTCTAATTCAAGACGTTTATTAATTTAAAGGATAAAATTGTTTAAAATAAAAAAAATTTAAAAATCACATGTTATAAATAAATAATTTAAATGACCATAATATAATTATGTCTGAATATAAATAAATTTAAAATTTTAATTTATTTTCAAATAAAAAATATTAAAATACAACATAACATTGAAATTAATTCTTTTCTTAAATGAAAGTATCGGTGTCCAATTAAATTAAAAAATATGATTGAAAATATAATATTAATTAATATAATAATTATTTATGAATAAAACTAATATTGGTAATAGATTAAAGTTATAGACATCAACATGAGTGGCTGTACCTTGTAAGATGTTGGATCGAACTCTAGTGTTGTCGAAGCCTGTTCGCAAATAATGCGTGTTGTAGTCGAAGTTTGTTCTAACATGCATTAGTCAATATTGTTAGGTTTGTTAGCATTGCTGAATTGGGTCTTACTTGTAAGCTCAATTGTTTAAGTTAGCTTGTAATGGGTAATTGTTAAAAAGCCTATTAGGTTAGTGTGCTATTTTATTATAAATAGGATGCTAGTTTCTCAATCTTGGCAATAAGAGAAAATAGGAAGATAAAATCCTAATTTTAAGGGAGAGGGGTTATTTTGTTATTCTTGTATACTTGTAATCTTGTTTTAAGAGAAAGGAAAGAATAGCAGTTTAATAACCAATCCTTGTTGTTCCTTGTTGCTTTCTTCTTTATTAACCCTAACCCTTGTGTGTTTCTTGATAAGAAACCGTTTATACTTTGTTTAACGGTATCCGATTCACAACAAATTGGTGCGGTGAGCGTGGAGAAGATGCCTTCAACAAAGTATGAGATTGAAAAGTTCACCGGAGTGAACGACTTCGGTCTGTGGCGCTTGAAGATGAAAGCCCTATTGGTTCAACAGGGTTGTTTGGAAGCGTTGAAGGGTGAGGCAGCCATGGACGTTGCGTTAACAGCAAAAGAAAAGACGGGCATGATCGAGAAAGTCCACAACGCAATATTGTTGAGCCTTGGTGATAAGGTTCTTCGACAGGTATCAAAGGAGACTACAACATCAAGATTATGGGTGAAACTTGAAAGTTTGTACATGACCAAATCTATGGTGAATCGACTATACCTGAAGCAAGCTTTATATTCATTCAAGATGAGTGAAGACAAAGTGTTGGCTGAGTAGTTGAATATGTTCAACAAGCTGATTCTTGATCTTGAAAATATTGATGTGAAGATCGATGATGAAGATCAAGCACTGTTGCTGATGTGTGCTTTACCCAGAACACATGCTCACTTCAAAGAAACTCTCTTGTATAGAAGGAAGTCCCTGAACTTTGAAGAAGTTCAATCAGCCTTGTATTCTAAGGACTTGAACGAACGAAAGGAGTATAAACCTTCGACGGTGGGCGAAGGTTTGGCCGTTAAGGGAAAATTCTTGCGAAAGGATGGTAAGTTCGACAAAAAGAAAGGTAAAAGTCAACAGAAGTCTTATAGTGGCGAAACATCTAGTATTCGATGTTATCACTGTAAGAAGGAGGGCCACATAAGAAAGGTGTGCCCTGAACGCCTGAAAGATCATGGAGGTAATGGCAATGCAGCCATTGTTCAAGATGACTTCGACTCATCTGATGTTCTTGTGGTTTCAAGTGGCGACTCGAGGAAAGAGTGGATTATGGATTCAGGTTGCACTTGGCACATGACTCCAAACAGAGATTTGATCGAGGAGCTATGTGATCAAGATGGTGGATCTGTGCTGCTAGGAAACAACAAATCTTGCAAAATTGCAGGTATTGGATCTGTGAGATTCAAGCTCCATGATGAGTCAATAAGGTTATTGACTGAAGTCAGGTACGTACCTGACTTGAAGAGAAATTTGATTTCTCTTGGTGAATTCGACAGAAAAGGATATGTTTTTCAAGGAGAGAAAAATATCCTAAGAGTCATGAAGGGGTCGAAGGAAGTCTTGAGAGGCGTGAAGAAACAAGGCTTGTATACCCTTGAGGCTGAGGTTGTAAGTGGTTCGACAAATGTTGCATCCACGAAACTTATGTCGAAGACAGGATTATGGCACATGAGATTGGGCCATGTCAGCGAAATAGGCCTGGTCGAATTGGGGAAGCAGAACCTGCTAGGAGGTAACAAAGTCGAAAATTTGGAATTTTGTGAATCTTGTGTATTTGGTAAATCCTGTAGGGCGAAGTTTAACAAAGACAAGTAAAGAACACATGGATCCCTGGATTACATTCATGCTGATCTTTGAGGGCATGCAAGGAATCCATCACACTCAGGTGCAAAGTATTTTCTATCCATCATTGATGACTATTCCAGAAAGCTATGGGTATTCATTCAGAAGACGAAGGATGAAACTTTTGAGAATTTCAAAAGTTGGAAGATTCTGGTCGAAACTCAAACTGGCAGAAAGGTTAAGAGGTTGAGAACCGACAATGGCCTTGAATTTTGCAACGAAGCGTTCAACAGTTACTGTGTTGAGTCTGGGATTGCAAGGCATAAGACTGTAGCAGGTACTCCTCAACAAAATGGCTTAGCTGAGAGATTCAATCGAACAATCCTTGAAAGGGTTAGATGCATATTGGTTAGTTCTAGATTGAAGAAGGTGTTTTGGGCGGAAGCTGTTTCGACAGCAGCTTACCTGATAAATAGATGTCCCTCGACTGCCTTGGGAATGAAGACACCTGAAGAAGTTTGGTCGGGACATCCACCTAGTCTCGACAGACTGAGAGTATTTGGCTGTGTCGCTTATGCTCATATTAAGCAAGACAAGGTCGAACCTAGAGCTCTGAAGTGCATGTTCATGGGATACCTTGAAGGAGTCAAAGCTTATAGGCTATGATGCCTAGAGCCAGGTCACAGGAGGTGTATCAACAGTCGAGATGTAGTTTTCAATGAAGCAGAGATGGCTTTCAAGAAAACTGATGATGCTGACGAAGAGCTGGAACAGGGAGAGATTCCTGTTGAGGTGGAGCATGTTGATGCTGAATTGCTTACCCCAGATGAAGTCGAAGAAGACGCAGAAGATGTTGTCGAAGATGAGGAGGCTGATAATGACTACCTGCTAGCAAGAGACAGGTCGAGGAGAGTCATCAAGCCACCTCAGAGACTTGGGTATACAGATCTTATAGCTTATGCCTTAATCTCTGCTAGTGAGGTTCTAGATGAAGCAGAGACTATAAGGAGGTTATGAGGAGTCGAAAGAAGACTGAATGGCTGAAGGCCATGGATGATGAGATGAAATATCTTCATGATAACAACACTTGGGAACTGATCAAGAAACCTGCTGGAGCCAGGTTAGTCAGTTGTAAATGGATTTTAAGGTACATAAATGGGTCTATGAATAGAGTCCTAATTTATGGTGGAGCCTTGGGTGAAGATAGTAAAGCAGCAATTGAAGGATATGTCGACTCTGATTATGCAGGTTGTATGGATTCTAGAAAATCTATCTCTGGATATGTGTTCACTATGTTTGGGACAACAATCAGTTGGAAAGCAACACTTCAGAAGGTCGTTGCCTTATCAACCACTGAAGCAGAGTATATTGCCCTAACTGAAGCTGTGAAGGAAGCATTGTGGCTTAAAGGTTTTGCAAAGGAGCTAAAACTTCAAGGTCAAGTTATCACTGTTAAATGTGATAGTCAAAGTGCAATACACCTGTCGAAGAATTCAGCCTATCATGAGCGAACCAAGCACATTGATGTGAGTCTGCATTTCATCAGAGGGGTAATCGAGCATGGAGAAGTCCAAGTGTTGAAGGTTTTGACAGATCATAATGCTGCTGATATGATCACCAAGACGTTGCCCAGTTGCAAGCTTTTCCACTGTATGCAGTTAATAAATCTGCATGAAGAAAGCTAGTTTCTTGATGTTATAGAGTTAGGTCCAAGGTGGAGATTTGTGAGATGTTGGATCGAACTCTAGTGTTGTCGAAGCCTGTTCGCAAGTAATGTGTGTTGTAGTCGAAGTTTATTCTAACATGCATTAGTCAATATTGCTAGGTTTGTTAGCATGCTGAATTGGGCCTTACTTGTAAGCTCAATTGTTTAAGTTAGCTTGTACCATAAGTTAGCTTGTAATAGGTAATTGTTAAAAAGCCCATTAGGTTAGTGTGCTATTTTATTATAAATAGGATGCTAGTTTCTCAATCTTGGCAATAAGGAAAAATAGGAAGATAAAATCCTAATTTCAAGGGAGAGAGGT